TTTTAGTTTTTTCGTCATGGGACATTATTTTCGCTGTATTATATCCTAAAAGTTAATCAAAAGTGAAATTGGGCCATAAATTTGACGTTTTTAGGTATTTTAGAGTATATTCATATTCAAAGCTTCGAATGCTTTAATGAAACATCAAAATGATTCAATGAAGCTTCGTGTCGTCACTCTCAACCTTCATATATAAAGTCTCGACTAACTCATTTTCGCCCCATTCTTCACCGACCATCACCGCTCACCGGCTGCAGCTGACAAGCAGGTAAGCCCGAGCTGCCCCACACCTCTAGTCTCCATTATATACGTGTAATGTTTTTCCCCAACTGTCTACAGTCAAAATGGCCAAGAGAAATGGTTATTCTTTTGGGTAGTGTTTAATATACTTAATTATGGCGTAATAATTGCTGTTTTAAGTAAAATACTTGCCAGCCGGTTGTTGCAGTTCACTTGCCTACTAGGGTCGTATCCCCAAGATTCACTGGGCTGTAAGGCCTATGGTACCTACTCTGCAGCTTAAACAAGTACATTAATATGGTTTAGTATTATATTAAGCGTTTCTCTAACGTCTAACCAGTAATTTCTTAATGTTTTAGGCAAATATACCGCCAAATGAGCCATGACAAACAAGCGTAAACTATAAGCCGGTGGTAGGTAACGAGCGTAAACCGTACATCAGTATTTATGTAATAATTAACCAGTAAGCGAGTTCAATGACCAGATTGGGTTAGATTACTGTATTTACTTTTTCATTTCACATTTTCCCCCTTGCTTGGAAGCCCAACCCACTTTGGCGGAGCCGGGTGGTCATAACTCAATAATTACGCATTTCTCCAAACGTTCATCATCACCACTAAATGTATTCACCATTAAAAACTGCGCCACAATGACTACTGTAGGTTTGACAAATATAACGATTTTTTTGCATAATTACGATACATAAATTTTTACTAGCTATTTCTTCGCTTACTCTTTAACTACGATTTCTTGAAGTTGAAATAGAATTTATTACAGGTTTAAGCCGAGGCGGGGCGAGGTAGGGAGCCGGCCGAGGGGAGACCCGACGTAGGGCGAGACGTTTCAGGAAGTCGAGGTTGAGGTGTTTCAGAATACAGTATACAGTATATTAAATAAAGTAACATTAAGGGTTCCTAGTAAATTTTTAAAAGTGGACAAACCTGGATTTTACCATCGGAAAAACACATTGCTCAACAAAAAAGCACCAAAATTAACCTAACAACGTAACCTAACCTAGAGATTCGTTGGTTGTCTACTTGTAAAAAAAAAAACAAAAAAAAAAAATACCGGGTTCCTAAAATAAATGTTAGATGTATATAATGACAATTAAAATATATTGGTAAATGAGGCAGCAACCATCTAATTAACCTCTGGAAAATGTTAATGTTTGACTCGCCTGAAGATTCATCCCCCACCTTATTTCATCCGAAGATCAATTTAACCTTAGCCAATCTACGTATTACAATGTGCTGGTGTATCTTTTTCTTTTTCAGATAAAGCAATGACTACAGATCCAACTACAGTTCAAAACCCTCTGTTATTCGTGTGGTTACAGTATATGGTCAGTGTGGTGCAGTATGAGGTCAAAAGTGAAGTGTGGTGCATTTTGTGGGGATGATAAACCACGAGTGTGAGAAGTGAAGCTTCTGACACTACACAACAGTATTCCTTGAGGTATTATTTTAACGTTTTGTGTGAAGGCGTGGATGGGTGTAGCCTGCTATGGTGTCATTTAATGTTTTGTGAGGGTGTGAGTGGGTGTAACTTGTCGGTGGTCGTTTAACTCTGTGTGGAGTTGTGGGTGGGTGTGGCTTCCTGTGGTGTCGTTAAATGTTTTGTGAGGGTGTGAGTGGGTGTGGCTTGTTGTGGTGTCATATAACGTTTTGAGTGTAGGGGGGTTTGGCTTGTGGGGTCATTTAATGTTTCGTGAGAGGGTGTGGGGTGTTGTATACTGATTGTGGGGGGGGCTGTGGTTGTGTATGAGATGGGTTGTGTTCCCATGAGAAGGAATTGAGCACGAGGTGGGCAGGTGGTTGTGGTGAAGTTTGTCATTCAAAAGTGTAAACAAGTTGTCGAGGGGGACACTTAAGGGGGCATGAGGGCGGGAGGGAAGGTTTAGAAGAGCTGTAGTAAACCTTGTGTATAGTGCATGAAGTAGTATAGAGTAGCAGTATCGTATTGGTGTTGGTGAGAAGTAATTTGAGTAAACTAATGTGGAGGTAATGATTTATGTAAACAGTTGGGGACAGTTTAAGTACATGTGGTCTAGTGGAAGATGGAAGATGCAAGTTTAATTTTCATTCTACATTAATTACAACTTTAAACATGTTGCAGGTGACAGCTGATGTACTTGAGGCCAATGAAGAAGTGACAGAACCTTGAACAAGTCAACAAGCAGTATGTTACTTCAGCCTCCTCAGTTAAGTTACTTACATATATATCTTGGGCTCATCCCATAAACCACTCAACACTGTGCCCCTACACTGGGCAGTGGAGGGGGGTGTGTGTGTGGGTTGGAGGGGGTGTGTGGTGGAGGGTGTGTGTGTGTGGGTTGGAGGGGTGTGTGTGTTGGAGGGTGGGTGCGTGTTGGAAGGGGCTGTGTGTGTGTGTGCGCGCGTGTTGGAAGGAGGGGTGTGTTAGAGGGGTGTGCGCGTGTTGGAAGGTGTGTGTGTGTGTGTGTTGGAAAGGGGGGAGGATGTGTGTATTGGAGGGCTCTGGAGGACTGTGTGGACTGACTAGAGACTGATCGTGTAGTAAAATTAATATTAGTTGTAGTGACATTATGTATAAATATACAGGCCTATTGGTTGGAGAAAATTAGTAGTAGTGTAGTTGTAAACATAACCAGTAGAGCAAGTTGTTGTTGTCGGGTTTCAACTAACTTTACTAACCTAACTTAACCAGCCTAACTTTGATTAAATGCAACAAATTTAGATTGAACCAAATTAGTATTAAGTGATCTATTATACAGTAAATTTATTAAATAAAAAACTTGTTGAAGAATGAAAATTCAATGTATTTCACTAGCCACTCATGTTAACTGATCATGAATACATAAAGTGAATTTTGAAGTTAGATAAAATTGAGACTTGCTAAATTATTAAAAAGTGATAATTTGTGTACACTTGGACACATTTTAAGTACATGTGGTCTTGTGGTAAATGTATATTGTATGTTGCAGGTGACAGCTGATGTACTTGAAGGCCAATGTAGAAGAGACAGAACCTTGAGCAAGATTTAACACCCAGCATGTTACTTCAGCCTCATCAGTTAAGTTACTTTTATATATTAGCTAGTAAGGTCATCCCATAAACCAAACAAATTGTGCTCCTACCCTGGGCAGTGGAGGACTGTGTGTGATGGAGGGCCCTGGAGGACTGTGTAGACTGACTGTAGACTGATAGAGTAAATTAATATTAGTTGTAGTGACTGTAAATATACAGGACTACATGCCTATTCGTTATTACAGAAAATTAGTAGTAGTAGTATACAGTAGTAGTAAATATAGCGAGTAAAGCAATTTGTTTGGTGGGTTTCAACTAACTTTACTTTCCTAACCATCCTGACTTAGATAAAACATAACTAACCTAGACTGAGCATATCAGTATTAAGCCATATTATACAAAACAAATTTTATATAATTAAAGAACATTAATTCAAACTATTTTATGAGCCACTTATGTTTACTGATCATAAATACAGAAAGTTAATTTTCAAGTTAGGTAAAATTGAGACTTTTGTAAATTACTAAAATTTGAAAAATTGTTTACTGTTGGAGTCTGTTTATATACAGGTGGTCTAGTGGTAGAAGGATATTGTATGTTTAACCTGCATTCCACATAAATAATAACGAAATATATTGCAGGTGAAAGATGATGTACTTGAAGGCCAACATAGAGGAAGTGACAGAACCAACCTTGAGGAAGATGTAACACATGCAAATTCAGCCTCCCCAGTTAGTTACCTATGTCTTCATATGGATATATCCTAAACACCACTAAATATAAGAATGAAAATGAGTGACTTGCTTTGTGTGAAGGATGGGGAGGAAGGAACATTGGGCAGTGGAGGGGCCGCTCGTACGTTGGGCAGTGGAGGGGGCGCTCGTACGTTGGGTAAAATGGCATGTACTGTGAAGGAATGTTGTGGATGATGCCTGTGAGCTGTAGCCATAAGAGAGCAGGAAGGCTGGTGCTCACGTGCAAGGTGTTATATAGGAGGGTGCTCAAGTGTATGGATATATGTAAGGATGCAAGTATAGAATGCAATAAATTTGGGGGTAAATGTTGTGTATTGGTAATGCTACATTAATGTTAATTAAGAATGATCTAAATTCAAAATCTTATTACAGGTAGTTGGTGTTCAAGATCGATGTACCAGATGTGAAAGCAAGATGGCCAGATGACCTCAGCGACTGTTCTGTACTGTCAACCATCCCACAGCCCACACCTTCATGACTACCACGTTTTTAAGCACAAATTTATTTATACAATTAAGAATTGAGAAAATTTAAAAAGTACAGTAAAGTAATATTTAAGAATGTGTAAGTAAGCCTCGAGTCAAGCCACACAGATTAAAAAAAGGTAGATATATTGTGTAACGGTTGGCACTTGTATCGAGAAAGAGAATATAATGTTGGCTCATAATATATGTTCATAATCAAATAAACACTGAATAAATTTGACATTTTTCATACTCCGATTCTGGAAAAGTAGAATAAAAACCATCTTGTAAGCTGAACTTGAAACCTGAAGGTGAGGTGTAAAGTATATGGATCATGTGATGCCAACATGATAGCCTATGTATACTTATCACTAATTGACATCCAAGTGCCAGCCTATGTAGAGACATATTGGGTATGTAAAATCAAAACTAAAAAGATGACCACAGGACTTGTACTTACAGATGGCATTGTAATATCTCATTTCAGTGTACAGTAGTTTAGTTTTTGAAAGTAATGTAAACATAGTAGTACAGTAGGGATTTTACTTACGGAATGTTGTCAATCTGGACACTGCACACCAGTTGTTGAATGTAAGTCCATTTTGCCTAAAATTTAGAAGAGAAATCCTTGTAAAATTATAATTCAAATTATAAATGTACTATTATGTACAACCTATGTAAATTAACTTGGTTATACAAAAAGCTTAAGACTTTGAAATCCAATAATGGTCATGTTTAAAGTTGTAACATTTTGAAATGAAATAATTTGATATTAGACCTAAAGTACAGTAAGTGTTGGTTGTAGTGTGTGTAGCTTGCAAAGATGTCCTGGGGCCCAAACTCCAGCCTGGGACAGATGTGAGAAGGGTGTTGAACGGTGTAAACCTAGCAAATATCGCACCCATACCTGCCCAAAAGGTTAGTATATTGACAAATGGTGGAAGTGATGAATGTAGTTCTAAACAGACTTGGTCACTTGAATAAATTTAGAAATGCCCTGTACTGTACCAGGTAAAAATTATTCACAAAGACAAAACTTCCATTACTGGATCAAACTAGATCTCGTGTATGACCAAAACCTGACATAAACTCTAAGGTCTAGTGTAATAAACTAATCTTAAGTGGAGTCCATTAAAAATGTTGAATTAGGAAATACTGGATTGATAGTAAAATTGTGATGATGCCTCCATCACAATGTATCTGCCAAGAAGAAATGAGCACATTACCACAATACTGTACTAGCATTATCTAGATGTAAGAAAAAGGTTATCTGGTGTGACGTTCACAACCATGGCAAGTTCTGGTTTCCTCTTTCACTAATACCAGATAATGAAGGTTTTAATTGATAACATAGAACTACCTGAATGTCTAGTAAACTGTTAAGTACCTAGACAGCACAGGTATAACCCAAAGAACAATAAGGCAATTTGATAAGTTCTTTTATAATCTATCAAGCTTCTGGACTATTATCAAACTAACATATACAGGGTATGTACAGGTAGTGTATAATAAAAATAAACTATAAAATTACTTATTTTCTAAGATTTCCGGTCTACAAAATCTAATATACTATGTACTACATGGTTAGCCTTGCAATATCAAACAGTCTCAAAACATGAAGATATCATTAAGTGGAAGTGATTTTATGTAAATTTCATTTTTCGATACTATTCATCTACAGAAATCTAAAATATTACATTGATGGTCTTGGTAAATATACAGTAAACATGGTCTTCTTGATAAGATATAAGTTACTGTACCTTGTATTATAAATTGGTCTGAAAATGAAGAGTTTATGACGTTATCATGCAACACTGCAGTAGCCCTCCTCCTTTATCCGGGCTGGGGACCGGCATGTTCAGTTGAACAAGGCGGAGTTACTACTGTATATCTATTTCTAATTACACTGCAGTAGCCCTCCTCCTTTATCCAGGCTGGGGACCAGCATGTTCAGTTGAACAAGGCGGAATTCCTGTGTATCTACTAACTTCACTGCAGTAGCCCTCCTCCTTTATCCAGGCTGGGGACCGGCATGTTCAGTTGAACAAGGCGGAATTCCTGTGTATCTACTTCTAACTTCATTGCAGTAGCCCTCCTCCTTTATCCGGGCTGGGGACCGGCATGTTCAGTTGAACAAGGCGGAGTTACTACTGTGTATCTACTTCTATGGTGCTGTTATTACAAAAATAAGTCTTACCTTTAAAACCTCCAGGAAGCACCTTGTTGTGGGTCCACAGTCAGCCAAACACACCTGGAATACAAATTTTTTTAGACAGTGTTCATAAATACCTTACATATAGACATTACATATTGTCACAAGTACTTTACCTGTTTGGTGGTGTTCTTGTCCAGCCAGCCTTCCACCTGAGCCAACCAGCAGTCCACCTCAGACAGCCACACAATCTGAAAGATTTAAAAAGACCCTTAGGGTGTGTGAATGAGAGGAAGGGTTTGTGGATGGACAGGAGGGTGGGAGGAAGGGTGCATGGATGGGAGGAAGGCTATGTGGTTGGGAGGACCTCCCACCCACACAGACACTCACTTCCATGCAGACACCTACCTCCCACCAACCTAACCACTCCCTCCCACCCACCCAATCCTCCTACCTAACCACCCAACCCTCCCACCTACACCTTCCCTCTCACCCACCCCCTTCCCATCCCTCCACCCACCCACCCCACCTCACCTCACCTCCCCTCCCTCCCTCCCTCTCTCTCGAGTATGATGAATTAACTCCCTTGAGTATGATGATTTAACTCCTTCAGTAAATAAATGTCTTAACTCAAGAGGCTAAGTCATTTTACTCATGAAGTTAATTAATTTTAATTAAAAGCTTCAGACTACAGTATTATTTCATCCCCTGAACAAAACTAAATTTACCTACAATGATTACAAACATATCTCTCACCCACTGTGTTCTGGGTTTGAGTCCTGACCTTGGAGATATGTGGGAAGGGTGTTATCCAGTGTGACACTACCAAACATGGCAGGTTTTCTCAGGATACTCCGATTTCCTCCAGTACTAACACTGGACAATGCCATAACAGAGTACAGTACTAACAAAGCACAGACCAACTGCCTGAATGACTTGTAAAATGATATCTTCATTAGCCGGAACAATTGGTGCAGAACACTTCCGGGAATGAGAGATTTCCGGGTAACGAGACGACTCTCCAGCCGGAAAAAAAAATTCCTCTTCCCTGGAATTTTCTGAGTAACATAAAAATATTCTTGAGATTTCAAGAAATTGTGCATTACATCATCTCTCAAACACGGAAAAACTTCCCCTTTCCCGGAATTTTCCGGGTACCGGGAAAATTTAATTGGAATTTTCCAGAATATGTGCCCCTCAAAAATTTGTTCCCAAAGTCAGATTGGGAACGATTTTCCAAGAAAATTTAAATTCCAGTTATCGGAGAGCTCTGGCTTACGGAGATATTATTGCACTCTGATAAGTGGTGAAATTATAACTTAAATTACTTAAAATTAAACTCTAGGATACTTACTTATACAGTATTAAATATACATAATTAAACATAACATAAGCTAAACACTTAATTTTTATGATCTAATATCCAGGAAGGGAAATGCCATAAAATAACACATCTATCAAATAGTTAGAGTATATCCTTAAGTATGTACAGTCTCCCAAAAAAGTCATGTTGCGAACCACAATTCAGACTCGTGAACCCGAAGCAGTAGACACTGATACATTATTCTGTCCATAAATGCTTCGGATTCAAGAGTCTGAATCTCGGGGTTCATGGTTCGTGACAGGACGTTTTGGGTGACTGTACTCTACTCAATTTGTATTCATTACTTTTTCATTTCTTTTTGGCAAAAACAATTTGTTTTAGGAAGGTACTATACAGGTACTATACTTACATTTTAAATTCAAGGCCAGTACCACTGAAGACCCAACTGTAGCATGCAAGAAGGTTCTTGTTGGGTCTCCCAGCACCACATTCTCTTCAGGACGCTGAGCAGTGATTGTGACAGCAGTACAATGGTCACTGATGCTCTCTGTTGTCTGGTGATTCACATGAAGATGATACTGAGAAGAAAGTGAAAGTCAAAACATCACAGTATTTGATAATTGATCGTCATTATTATATTTTATTTTTTTTATTTGTATTTTATTATTATTATTATTATTATTATTATTATTATTATTATTATTATTATATATCTTTGCCCCCAGGCCCTGATGTGGGTCATTGACCTGTGCACGGGTGGGCTACTCCCCTAAAAAAAACCTGACAAAGCACAGTCTTATCAATGCATCCCAGCACAGTTTAATGGAGAAAATCCTGCCTAACAAATACTCAGTTTCCTTCAAAAGGTAACAGGGTATGTGGACCAAGGGCTACCAGTGGATGGGTTGTACAGGTATATGGACTTTTCTAAGACTTTTGACAAGTCCCACATGCAAGAAGAGTCTCTTAGATCCAGGCACAAGGCATCACAGGGAATATATTGAAATGAATGTACAGTTGGCTAAAAGGGTGGAATTAAATGGGGTAAATTCAATTTAGAAAAAGGTTCTGTCCTTGGACCCATCTTATTTGTGAGCTAAATTAATGACGTAGATGACAGTATATTACCATACTGTAAAGATTATGGACAACACAAAGATATTTGGGAAGGCACCAAGTCAAGATGATGTCACATCCATGCAAAAAGATCTGCTGGAACTGTGCAAATGGTTGCATGGCTAGCATAGGCTTTATATCATTATATAATGAAAGACTGCATGTAAGGTACAATAACCCTAATTGCAACTATTCTGTTAATAACACTTTCATGGACACTGTTGATAAGGAAAAAATCTAGGCATGTGATAAACCAATCACTGAAGGCGGCACAAGTAGGGGCAGCGATGAAAAAAGCTAACCAAGATTTAAGAATTAAAAGTAGTACCTTCAAATATAAAGCTAAGAAAAGGCTCCTTCAACCTTATAAGTATCACATAGGTAACCATCTGAATTACTGTATTTAGGCACAGAAGCTTTACCTCCAGAAAGACTTAACAATACAGTAATATAAATGGTGCAACACAGAGCGACTAAGATGATTCCTGAACTACGGTACATCATCTCGATTATCCACGTAGACTGAGTGCCTAAGGACGAACAACTCTTCAGACAAGACACAATATAATAGATCTCATAGGGACATTCAAAATCATGAAAGGGATGAAAAATGTTAACCTGGGCCATTTTTTGTGATGTTATGCGCCACCAACACGAGGGGACATAACTATAATTTCACCAAGTTGTCGTGCAAGACAAATACTATAAGGAAATACAATACGTACTTCTTCACAGAGAGGCTGGTAGACCTACAGTATGGAACAGTCTACCAGCTCAAGCTGTGGAATCAAGACAACAGAACTGAGTTTCAAAATAGCCCAATACAAGAATATGAAGAATGATGGAGGGATCCTACACAGGCCACTGGCCTTCTTCCCTCTGTATGGCCACCTGTAGTGGGTGGCCATTAGGTAAATAAGCTAAAAATAAGTTAAGATGAAGATAAGACTATGTTATTGACTGCACTAAAACTTAAAAGGCAACTTTGAGCACCACAACTGCAAATTTGGAAGTACAATGTACATGGACAAAGATTCCAAAGAGATTGTGAATAAAATAAATAAGAAAATTACAAGCGTCTATTACCAAAAAATCTAAATATGTTTCAGAAGCCACCGCATTCAAATAGGATTTGTTTTGTGAAGAGCCTGTTGTTTTCTGAACAAACATGTAAATCATTACCTGTAAAACTATTTCAGTGTCACTGATGCGTCAGAAACCAGGCAGTTAACTCTCGTGGCTATCTGTGCAGTTGCATTACTGACGCCAGTGCTGGCGTGAGCCTCCTGCTCAGCAGTCTCACACTGAGAGCACCCATCCTGTTAGCAGAAATGCAGAAACAGAGTGGACAAGCCTATCAACCACTTGGCTCCTCTCACCAGCCTCATGGGCTGGCAGATCCATCCTAGGGTGCAAGTGGAGTCTGGATCACTCTACCCAATGGCCCAAAATGGGAAAAATCATTCCTGTTACCGATGCAACCTGTGTTGAAAGAAAGACTGCAAGGGGTTGAGATTTCTAACCATGAGTACCAGAGGGTTTTACCTTTCCCACTGTCATCCTGTTTCTCAGAGCAGCTCCTAAATGTGCCTTGGTCCAGAGACAGCATTCAGCTTCAGAAGAACTTTCCACAGAGAGACAAGCCAATACACAGTAGTTCATACAGATTTAGAAATACTTTACATCTGTCACAATATATGAGATTCAATGAGAATTAGATTGGCGACATTTCTTTTTTTTGGTATTCTGGGGATTTTTCCAGCTGTAAGCACTCAAGGAGAGAGATAAAAAGCAAAGTAAATTTTTCCAAAAATAGCAAATTGTTACAAACAATGCCAAGGATATTTTTTACCTTATTTATTTGTTTTTTATAATTTTACATAAATGAATTGCAGCCATTTGGAATGATTTGGAAGAGGCAGCATGTCACTTGACTCTGTATTAAAAGTGGGTTTCCATCTCATTTAAAGATTTGAGACCCACGGTATGGATATTAAGATTTTACATAGTTGCAATTTACTTGATACCCTACTGTACTTTTCATGGCCATTTCACCAACACTCTCCAGCCAGCTGGGGAGGCATGGTCAACCCTCTTACTAAAGACAAAAATGATCTTTCCAGATCACTATTAATTTCATGATTTGTTCAATGGCCATGTTTATCATTTACATTACACCTCTCAAATTAATCTAAATTGTGAGGCTGAAGTTTAGCCGGCGTGTCTATTCGAACATGCCTGTTTGAAGATTGGCACATACTCAGCAAAGGCAATAGATAAGAAAAAGAAAGCCTTCATTGAAGATGTGATTGATCATTTGGAGTTAATCAGCAAAGCCTGACATTGTTAACCATTGAAATTATGCTGCTAATGTTCTGGAAGCAAGAAGTCACCATCGTGACAGACAACCAATGATCATCCTAGATTTTTACGGTAATGATACTCTGAAATTTAATTATTTTTCTTTAGTTTTTAATGCTTAAGGTCAGCCTACAATATTTCTAAGTGATTAATAATTGGGTGATAACATGGCAAGAATATTGCTGATTATACATTACTGGAAATAACTACAATACTTTATCATACTTTATATGGATCTATGCAAGTGTATGTACCTGTTTTGAATAAACTGATCGTCAGGTCTTGTCTTCTTTCCCTTTCGCCCCCCACCAGGAAAAATCTCTGACCGCTAGTGGCAGCACCTGTCCTCTCTTGTATTGGTGAAGGAAGGCTACGAGCTTGATATCCTGCAAACAGAAGCAGTGAGAATAATTTAAGAAGTCAAAGAATGCAATGATTGAGGGCAATAAATATGGAACTAGGGTTACAGACATTTCACCTTGGGTCCAACCGATATTAATACAGTTACCAACAAATTAAGATTAATGAGAGAATAGTGAGGTAAGCTTTTACAAGATAGATATTTGGCTTGAAAAATGAAAGGACCTTCTGGAGGCAAAGATACGAAGAGATACATGAAAAGTTAATTAACATAATTTTAAAATATAATCTGACAAACTAGTGTACAGTTGTTTTGGAAAATTTATGAGATCACCCTAGGAGTAATAATTTTACATAAAATAACACATTGCATGTATATTGTGATGGTTCCGCTGTGCAGAAGTGGCAGGGCAGGGTGTGGGATCCTTATAGGCAGTACACAGAACAAGGCCTGACATTTTAAAACTGGACTTGACTGATCAATTTAAATCATCATCTGGCTGAGTTACAGGATGTACAGTGTTGGCAGCATGGGAAAATGTTGTAAAGAGGGTAAAAGATTTTTTTTTTTAGATAGTCCAGCAGCTGACTTGTACAGGCCATTGAAACAACAAAGACTTTTTTTTAAGAACTTTTTTCTATCAGGACCTTCTGGCATATCAAACAGAAAGTACTTATTTTATAATATCTGTTACTAATAAACTTAACTTTTCTTAAAATTGGCATTGATGTAATTATTGCATTTTTGTGGACCTGAGAGTATGCTCGGACTGAAAGACTGCATTGACTGAGACCAAATGTGAAAAAAGACTTGGGTGTGTATATGTCAACATTGGACTTAAGTTCTCGAGGCCATTGTTGTAGAAAAAAAGGTGGCTGGAGGCATATAAGAAGGTCCATTTAGAGTGGCTACTTCCCCATCTGGGGTATCTTTCAAGACATCAATTGATTGAAAATGTCCAAGGGAGGGACGCAGACTGGTGCCTGCTCTGTGGAACCTCAAGTTCACAGAGAGATTAGAATGCCTGCAACAACCAAGCATACTACAGAGAGGGCAGGGGCAACCTACTCAGTCAACCAAATGTACATGCCTGGAGCTGGCAAACATCCACCCAGGGGTCACAGCTCAGAGTTGAAGAAAGCCAGAAAACTGTGAGGCGGCTTTTTTGTAGTGAGGTGTGGACTCTTGGAAGTATCTGTCAAGAAGCGCGTTAATGGCGGCACGGAGAAATGTGAGCTCATTTAAAGGCCAGACTTGACCATCACTGGAGCAGAGTTCAGATATGTTCAGGGGCAATGCATGTGCCTAGTACCCAGCCAACCAGTACACAGAACAGAGGCGAGCCGATAGTCCAAGCAAGCTAACGAGCCAATCAGTGGCGAAAGGGTAACTGTAAGTAAAGTAAAAAGGCGGAATGCGTTTGTTACCTGAAAAAAAAGGCAAGATGACAACATGCACCGAAAAAGCAGATTTTTCTGCAGCATATTTACAGCAAATAATTAATTTCCTTCATGTACAAAAGCATCATACAGACATCATTTTGATGTTAAATGATCAGTTATCACTGTTTATCCTGCAATTTCCCTCACCCTTCCATACTGCACACTACAGGTGATTTATTGTTATTAGAAAAACTAAAAAAATAAACAATTTACTTATGCCTGTAATTCAAATAAAGAGGTGCTCCTATAGCATGCGGGTTACAAGACATTTGAAACTTGGTTAAATGGTTTGAAATAG